GTGGTTTTCTTTTTGTGGTGTGCTTCTTTCCTGAGGAGTTTTTAGGTTGCGTGTGGTTCTTCTACTCCCTACTGTCTGTTTTCTAATTTGTCGTATGCGTTGGGACACTGTGTTACTCGGACTGACTGACATCTTGGGTGAACTTCTCCGCTCCCCTCTGGCTCTTCCAGGAGCCATCTCTGTCTTCTGGGGGAGGTTTCTGCTGGTTTTAGGCAGTTTTTACTGAAGAAATGTCCCTGTTCTCAAATGGCGAAGCGGGATGCAGTCCCTGCGCCTCCGGTTTCAGGCACACTCTTCTGCGCCCCCGGTCTGCCCCGGACGTGGGTGCCTGCTCCCTCTGTGGGCTCAGACTGCTGGTCGGAAGGGGCCTGGCGTGGAATAACTTCCCGGCTGGCCACTGGGTCCTCCAGAAACCTTCTGCCCTTTTCAAGCAGTCTTAAGAAATGTCCTGTTTTATAGGGTGTTAGTGACTTTTTTTTTTTCCTGGTCGCTAGGTGGCGCCAGAGATCTCTCCTATTGGCCTTGGGGGGCTGTTTTTCGCCTCCCCCCACCCCGTGGGACAGAGAACAGAGCGGGAATGGTAGGGTACACCTCAACAGCTTTGGGGTGCTGTGTCTGCCTTGTGCCCCACCGTCGTGGAGAAACCACGCCCCGAATTTTCGTGCCCCGGGTCTCAGTTCAAAGCCCTCAGTTCCAGGACGCGGGCTGTAGCCCAGTTCAGTGGCGCGGGAATGGCGCCTTTTGCACAGCTCCCGTGCCTGGGCGCCTGGTTCCTGCTCACTCAGGGAGGGACCTTCACCTCAGTGAGGACCTCCGTGCGTCTCCCTGCAAGCCTAGGTCGCAGGCGCGGGGACCTGGGCAGCCGTGATCCAGGTCTGCACTTGCTTTTCAAGCTCCCCGAGCGCGCTGTGTTTCCGCGCCAGCTTACTGGCAGCCTGGGCTGTGTGCGCGTCTCCCGGGGTCTTTGTTCTTCTCTAATGGCGCCCGGAGCCGTTCGCTCACCGCCGCGGCGGATCCTGCAGGGTTCGCCTCAGCTCCCGTTCACGGGGTGTGGTGGCTGCAATAGTTCCTTTCCACTCACAGTCCCGCTTGCTGCGTCGTTTGTTCTTATGGGCCGTTTTGGTTTGTTGTTTCCTCCTCTCTGCGGGTCGGAGAGTGCCGCCTCTGTGGGCGGGGGAGGGGAGCAGGGTTCTGCGCTTCCCTCCCTTCTAGTCCTCTTTTATGGCCACTTTCTTCTTCGGGCAGTTCGCTGGCGTCACCCGTTTATCTTCCGTGTCCCAGTTCTCACTGGGACCTGCCGCTTTTCCTCCCTATTCACTTTTTTTAATGGGAGATCTTACTGGCAGCGTCTCCTCGCCGCCATGTTGCTCCGCCCCCTTCCAGAAAGACATTTGATGAAAAAACATACACTAGAGATGTTTACAATGCTTACTTCTGTGGCGAATGTCTGACCTAGAGATGTTGGTTCTCATTCTTATCTACTCTTTTTTTTTTAAAGATTTATTTATTTATACAAGAACTGGGGTACAGGCCAGAGGCGTGTGAGGGTAAGAGGATTCACCAGAGACAGAGTGGGGAGCAGAACAGGCAGATGGACAGAAATACACTGCTGAGGGGAGTGGTGGGCGAGAAAGGAAAGGTCTGCTGTGCCATGTGGGTATCTCCCTGGCCGGCCGGGAATCCAACTGGCACTGGAGAGGCTCTGCAGAGGCTCTGCAGGGGCTGCTAACAGCTTCACATTGCTGCACTCAACCTGCTGTGCATCTGGGGAGGCCCTCTTAATACATTGGATATGGTAGTTAAATAGGGCAACATTTGGAGTTGTTTCTCAGTTCAGAAATCATTTTTATTCTCAGTTTTAAAATAATTTTATAACATACTAAGGTTTCTTTGGGGTTCAGATTTATTCACTACACTTTTTAAAATTTAAATTTAATAATTTTTAATGAGTTAAAATATTCACGGTGAATAAATTCAGTGTTCAACATATTATTTGTAGTTCTTGTATCATTTTAAATTCACATTCAAAATTTTGAACAGATTAAATCCAGGAATATTAAAATCCCTTCCATTATTTGTGATTCCTTTTCCAATTTATCTTAAACTGAGAGATCATTTATTTTAGAAATAGTCAATATAATGAAATTATAATGCCCTGTACTAATGTGGAAAGTCTCAAGAGGTCTGTTTCAATGATGAAGCAGATGTCTATTGGAATGAAAATCCTCAAATCAAGTCAATATGAAGTGACTTTAAATAAAACCTAAACCCCACCTTAAGAATGTCTTATTTTTGGGCCTTCCTGGTGGCCTAGAGGTAAAGTATCAGCATTACCACCGTGATGGTCTGGCGATTACCTTCCAGGGAGCAACCCACATGGCACAGCAGACCTCTTCTGTCTAGCCCACTGCTCCCCTTAGCAATGCATTTCAGTAGAGCTGCTTTTTCTGCTCCCCACTCTGTCTCTGGTGAATCCTCTCACCTCCTGCACCTCTGACCTACATCCCAGTTCTAAGCAAAATAAAATAAATAACAATATTACAAAAAAGAAATAATAATTTAAAAAAATTAAAAAGAAAGAAGTCTTATTTTGAGCTTCTCGATTTTGGCTTCATCTACAGGATAAAACATTGCTTTTACCCTTTATCATCTTTAGGTGTGTATGTGAGCAGATGGTGGGGGGTGTGTGTGGAATGTGTTTAATAGAAATCTAGCCCAAAGTTATACTACAGGTTTTATGTGACCTCTTCTCGACAATTTTTGTTATTGTAAATGAAAAAAATTTACGTAAAGGGATGAGACATCATAGTTTGAGTACCTTGAGCTATTTAGCATCAATAAATGGAGGATATAAGACCTGATAACGAAAGTTCAAGCTAAAATCTCCACATTATACAAACTGAACTTTAATGAAAATATCCTGCAGTGATGTATCGTTACTGGATTTTTCTCGGCGATGGACTTACTACCTAGACGTATTAGTTTTCATGTTTCTAACTTTGAAAATTTATAAATGTGTTTACCCTTAAGTCCTTATTTGTAGTTTATTGATTTCACCTAGATAAATGTGAGAAAGAAATGTTTAAAACGTAGAGCTAATATTTCTTAGGGAAAAGTACAGGGCATAAAGAATGATTGACATTGAACAGATTAATTGGTAGAATAGTTTATATTAATTAACTTAGAGATAAAATTAGTTAGATTGTTTAGAATCTTAGAGCTGGTATTATTTTTATTTGCCATAGTAAGATGAGAAATGGGTAAACCTCAAAAGTGATCATACTATATCAGTAGTTAATATAAAGGTCATTAAAATTATTTTAAAAGAAATTTACTATAAAAGGGGCAAAGTGAGTAGACTTTTGGTGAATTTAAATTCACAGGTAGAATCAATTTCCATTTAAAGCTCTGAAAACTCTTCATGTCCTTCAAGGCCCTCATCCCACCCCTTTCTCAAATTCATATCTTCTATGAATCAGTATTAATGAGATTTTTTTCTATTCCTCCACATACTACTACTTTTAATCTCTTTTTTATACTCCTACTTTGCCTTGTGCTAGAGTTAATGGTAGAGTAGAAAGAGCATGAATATTGTAGTAAAAACCCAGTTTAAACTTGCTGAGTCCCAGTTTATTCACTTTTAAAATGGGGAGAGAAATATGAACTCCTTTGGTTCTTGTGAGAATTAAATTGGAAAACATAAAGCACTTGACACTGAGCAGGCACTCAGTAAGTGTCAGTGTCTTTCCCATTTCTTAGTTTTATGTCTGTTTTCCCCTGAAGTCTATAAATTCCTTTAGGGCAAGAAATGTGTTTTATATTTATAGTGCCTTGTGCATAGTAGGTGCTAAAAGATTATTTGTTGAGTTTAATTTACTGTCCTGCTGTGGAAGCTTAGTGCCATTATTTCTCATTTCTTTTTCCTCTGTCACCTTGCATTGAGATAAACATGCTGCTTTCATGAAATTGAAGATTTAATTCAGTAAAAAGCCATTATAATATGAGTTATTCTATAGAGTTTAAAATTGTAAGGGTCAAATAATTTCCCTGGAAACTTAATACATGCTATAAAATCTTATTAGCCTGTCTCACAGTATCATAGTCACAGCTGAGTTCTGGTGTGTTTCAGATGGTGAAGTCTCTTCTGTAGAAATCTATGTAATAACACACAGTGAGAAAATGGGAAATAAATGATGAAGAGAAAGCAAAATGCAAATGTCTTGCAAATGCCATTACTTGACATTTTCAATAACTGATCCTCCAAAGTATGTTCTAAGTTGGAGAATTCAATTTCTTGTGAGCTTATTTTGCCTAATTAATTATTAGTAATAGAACAGTATTCTGAGATTCACTGCAATATGTTTCTTTGTGTTTATCTAGTATCTGACTTAAAAATGAATGGAAACATTCTGATTCAGCAGAACTGATTTCATAACTCATCTGTGTTATAGAGCAGAAATGAATAAATGTTTGCTGAACATGCTACTTACGCTTCGATCATCAAAATACTAGTATTCTTTCTTTCTTGAAATATAAGATTTGAGAGATCATCCTGGCTGAAATTTGCTATGTGCCTATTCTGTCCATTTATTTCTACACAGGGAAGCACCTACCTTTTCATAAAATTTTTTTCATGACTGGAATTTGAGAATTCTTTTAATACATTTTTCAGTATGACTTGAAATTATACCTCCATTGTAATTTTTTCTTTAAAAGTAGTAGTGTGTCCTAAACCATGAAGAATTTTTATAAAAGTGAAGTATGTTTTTTTGTTAGCATGAGGAGAAAACCAGCTTCTCCTTCATGCATTAATATTTGTTGTACTTAGGATATAGTTTCTCGTTCTTCATAATTATCATTGAATAACATTTAGGTAACATTTTTATCTCTAATCAGTGGGAGAGACTGAGGCTCTGTATTGACTTTTACTCTGTGTTAGACAGGGAATTTGAGAAAAATATGCTGCTATACTAATGATTTACTTTTGCTTTCAATTTTAGTTTCGAAGGACATTTGAGTCTCTCAAAAATGTTTCTAACAAATCCGACCTCCAGAAAACCTACCAGAAGCTTGGGAAAGAACTTGAAAACCTGGATTATTTGGCCTTCAAACGTCAGCAGGTAGGAGTTGGAGTTCATCTCCTCCTCGGTGGAGGAGGTGAACACTTTAGTCTTGTCTGTCAGAGGTTCAGGTGGGTCTGAAGAGACATCTAATGTTTAGGGCAGAAATAGATTGTGCTGTGCCCACCAACAGTGGTCAGATGGCTTAGGTAATATTGAATGTGCTTGCTTTTAGATGTGTGCTTCAGGGGTTTCCACATGTGTCCCTATATCTCCTTTAAAGAAAACTCCTACTAGTTTGGGAAGATCCAGCTAGTCTTTGACTAAGGATGTCTCACTGACATAAAGGGAACCGCTAAGTTTAAACTTGGCCAGAAGGCCTTTATATTTGAAAGGAGGATACTAAGTGGCTGACATAAAAAGTTCACCTGTAATGTACATAAAAAAGTCATCTGTGGATGTACATAAAAATTTAGGGAATAGGGTCTTATATATGCCAAAATATTCATTAACCTTTAGTTTTCTTGTTTGATCTTTAAAGATTACTAAAAATTTGCTAAATGTGAAAGGTTGAAGGAAAATGTACTTTTCAAATATAGTCTTTTCACCTCTTTGTATAGGCCTCAAGATAAATTAAGGGTCAACATGGACTTCTATAAGCTTTTTTTTAGGTTCAGTAATTTATAATTTTAATAATCATTAAATTCTATGTATTTGCAAGATGCTGCTGCAATAGCTACTTTTCCCATGCTGGATCTTGTTTCTTTATAGCCACTAGGTGTCAGGATTGTCAAGTTTTTACTTTGATGGAATGTTTATTCCAATCAGAACAGCGGTTAACTAGACTGAAATTCGGAATGTGCTCAATGATGGGTAACGGAACGTCTAGAGAAATAAGTTAAGTGACTGACTTGCATGGCCAGAGACTGAGTCCATTACTTAGAGTCCTTCCTGTTTGTGTGGCAAAGAGTGGTATTATTGCCTTTGTCTAATTCACAATTTTTGGATCTTTTGGATCTTTTGACTGGGGTGAGGGGCATTTCTAAGGCGGGTTTCCTATATTTTGTTATCCATCATGAAATTAGCATGATGTGGCTCAGAAGTATTGACTGGAGAAGAGAATTGTGTTCTAGGTTTTGCTTCATCACAAATATTATATTAGCATGTAACCTTCAGGGGCCCTATTTTCTTAGGCTTTGTATTTGTTTTGCAGAATGTTCTGGTGTACATGAATATCTTGGCACATGCTTTAATTTATAGGAAAAAGCACACAATGTGCATTTATTTATTTAATTTTAAATTGGTGATGGTTAGGTATTAACATGTGTAACAGAAGCTAGTACAGTAAGCTCCCAGATGCTGCTGCTTAAAATTCAGTGTGAGTCATTGCTCTGGCCTATGTGATTTTTAGGACAGTTTTGTTTCCAGGAGCCATATTTTACCACTGAGGGGTATTTGAGTTGCCAGGCAGTAGTCATTGTCCTCTTATCGTTCCTCATTAGCACATTTTCAGTGATTAGATTCTTACATTAGCTAATTGTGAATCTGGAAAAATGTGAATGCTTCAAGTGTAGAGAGTAAAAGACAGATAGGTAAACCTTGTGTGAGGAAGACAGAGAGGGACATGGTATATGTGATATATATATATATATATTATATATATATATATATATCTCAGTATATATACACACATATATGCATGTATCAATCATACATATAGTTTATTGAATGATAGCCATATGCCACATAGTGTGATCAATACTTTTGTGAATTAGATCATTAAATGGAATTGGGCTTATAAGCTATATTTTACAGATGAGAAAACTATCAAGATAGTTTAGTTTCTTGCCTACAATCACTGATCTAGTAAGACATGAGGTTGGGCTTCAAATCTAAATCAGTATAATTCTAAACTGAGGCTTTTCCCAGATCTCATTCCCATCAACCCTGAGAGGAACCAATTTGGGGGAATAGTAAAGTGAGGGATTTTAGGCATGGAGGGTTAAGACAATTTTAGGAGGGACCAAACCTGAGATTTCAGAGAAATTTGCAATGGGTATCTGGTAAGAGGCAAATGACAGGCCATTCTTTCCCCTTCTCGCTCTCATGCAACTTATTCAGTATAGACAAAAATGCAAAAAGCCTTTTGTGAGATTATCTTTAGACAGCTAAGAAAATTATAAAACTTTATTTGGATAATCTTAATAGTGTTATATCCAGTAGAACCCTAGTTCTAGAGAATTTAAAAAGCTGTTTTTAAGCTCAAAGGGATAAGTCCTTCTGAAACGGGCTTACATGCACCCAAAGCATACTGTCAACCCTTTGTCTTATTTGATCACACCTTTCTCTATACCTTGTGATCATTTTTTTTCCTAACTAGAAAAATTGAAAGGGGAATTGGAAGGAAATATCAGAAAGAGGATGGTAGTATAGAAAGAAAGTTGGGGACCAAATTAATGATGGAAAAAGAGGGAAAGAGACTGCTAGGGGTAAAGTAAGAGGGATTAAGTAAGGGAAATTGCTCTATACTTGATTTTATATGTGTCTAACAAAACATTGATTTTTGAAAAATTTAAAAATGAACCCAAACTAGAAATATAGAAGAAAAACAGAGAAAACAGTAAAGGAAAGAGATGGCAAAAAGTAACAAAGACAAACTTTCTTTCCTATTTTGTTTCTGAATGTCTGCAGCTCTTCCTAAAAATTTGTAAAATTCACCAATTGCTTCTGTACCAAAACCACAGGTGAACTAGGGGGCCCTATGGGAAGGGTTCAGGGTCAGAGCATTACCTCATTCCCAACTTGATGGGATTTCCTTTTATTCTCTTATCCTATTCCCTTGAAATCCCCCAAAGCCCATTAAACATACACCAGAAAGTTTCTCCTACTGGAAAAGATTCAGGTAGAAAATTACAATTCAGCAAGAAACTTATGCCTTATAAGGCAGCATTCTTTGAACTAGAAAATTAGTCATGGTTTGTTCCCTGGTCCCACTACATCTGTCATTCCTTCTTGTGACAGAATGTAAGCTCCATAAGGACAGGCCCTCATCTGTCACCTTCAGTGCTGTATCCTCTGCAGTGTTCACAGCAGTACCTGACCCATGGCAATGTTCAATAAATACTTGTTGGTGCTGTTATTGCTCTGAGCAAGGAAGCATGCCAAAAGTTTTGGCCTCAGATTACAGGCAATTAAAATTGATGTGTTTTACTTACACTTCTGAAATTTAGAAGGGCAATAACCCTTTGGTTTCCTGGATGCCAAAGTCTGACAGATTTGCCCTGCCTTGTTTACTATACAGGTTTCCTCCTGACACATGTAATTTTCCCTCCAATAATTTAAACAAAAGTAAATTTTAAATTTTACCTTAATTATGATCTGTGGATGTACAATGAATTGACTATAATTATTTTCTTGGACTCATTCAGTAGATTTTCTCTCTTTTTCTATGGTATTTTAAACACCATTTTTCAGAGATTTATTTCCTAGAATCAGATATGTCCCTGGAGAACTTTATTCTTTCATCTATCTTTTTTTGGGTTATTATGTTTTCTCTCCCAGGCCTGTGTTCAGCTTAGCCTTGCCTTTGCCTTGCCTGCTCTTTTCTTTCCTTTAAAAAAGTTTTTTTTTTAAAGTGAGTGCTTGTGCTTCAGCTATTCCTTGGGCTGTATTTTAGGTGTGGGAACAAGCATCTCTCCATTTTCCTACTGTCAAAAAGACTAATGTTGAATATAGTTTGGGTCTGAGATGGTGAGTGGAGGCCATGATAGATGAGGTGGTGGGTTTTCCAGGATGAGTAAGCCTGAAGAAAACAGATGACAAAGCAGGATTAACCTGAGAATCTGGAGGTTTTTTCAGTTTTTACCTTTGAGAGATGAAATCTTGGAATTTAACTGCTTGGACTGTTGATTTTATCTTCCTGGTTGATGCTACATAGGTGTAGTAATAGCAAGCTTCAGCTATTATAGAGATCCCAGGCTGATGTATTAACTTGAGAGGTTTTAAATCAAGAGATTTCCTTGGAGCTTTGGTTTCATGGAATAAAATAAAGTAAGGTTTGATAATCTGGACTTTAATTCCTTCTTCTCTTCTTCTATCCATAATACCCAACCATGGCTTTATTGTTTTATTTTTAAAGATTTATTTATTTATGCATTCAAGAGCAGGGATATAGACCAGAGATGCAGGTGGTGAGAGGATTCACCAGAGACAGAGTGGTTAGCAGAACAGGAAAATCTACTGAAATACACTGCTGAGGAGAGCAGCAGGCGAGACAGTAGAGGTCTGTTGCGCCATGTGGGTCACCTCCCTGGCTAGGGCTTGAACTCGTGCTGCAGTGGCTGTGGATAGCTCTATAGTGCTGCATCTTAACCCCTTGCGCCACCAGGGAGGTCCCTCCTAACCACAGCTTTATAGGATATATACCCCTTTCACAGGCTTCTGAAGTCCTTTCATATAAAACAAAGTTGATATTATTGACTTGAATATTTTATAGACATTTACACATGAATGGGAAAATACATACAATTAAAATATTGTACTTTAGATACACATCCATGTTGTAAGTAACACACCACAAACCCTTGACCTTCCTGTATCATGGCAAGCTGCTCTTGTCTTCTGAACTTTCCACAAGGTTAATATAATTAGGTATTTAGAATACCCTTCTTCTATTTACTTAACTACTAAGCATTCTTTAAAGTTAAACTGAAGTCTGTCTTCCCTCTTAGCACTTTATCTTATGCCCTCTAGTCAGCATGTAAACTCCTCCTTTTCTGGCATTCTTACCTTTTTAAAATTTTATATATTTTTCACATCATCATTTTTGTACAATGTATGTTTTTCTCCTCTCAGGTGTAGTTCCCGTGCATTTCTTTCTTACCTTCTATCTGTGTCATACAATATAGCATATGATTGATTATACACTCACTGAGATCCCATGTAGTACAGGGGAGAGCATGGATTTTATAGTTAACCAATCTGGTTAAATTATTTGGGCACTGTAGCTTCTTCTTCTTCTTCTTTTTTTTTTTTTGAAGATTTATTTATTTATGCATACA